TTTTTAAAAAATACGATCCACATCCGGTAGTAATGAAAAACATGGTCAGAAAAATACAAATTACATTAATCCAATAGACAAGACTGTGACAAGGTTTTAACCTACAATCATCCAATGAGCAGGCCTGACTCAAGAGTCAAGGTCTCAACCTACATTTAACCAATAAACAAGCCTGTCTCAAGGTCTCAACCGACATCCGTCCAATGAACAGCCCTGTCTCACGGTATCATCCTATATTCATCCAATGAGCAGGCTTGTCTCAACCTACATTCGTCCAATGAGCAGTCTTGTCTCAAGAGTCAAGGTCTCAACCTACATTCATCCAATGGACAAGCCTGTCTCAATGTCTCAATCTGCATTTAACCAATGGACAGGCCTGTCTCAAGGTCTCATTCATCCAATGAACAAGCTTGTCTCAAGGTCTCAACCTACATTCATCCAATAAACAAGCTTGTGTCAAGGTCTCGAGATCAACCTACATCAACCACAGCCTTCCTGCTCCGGACCTACTCCATGCCAAACCATGCTTTGGGGGAATTCGGCTACTGTTGGGACGCCATGTTCGCCTAAGGGACGGGGTCCCTCAAAGTATGTTCCAAAAGGTCATTCACCTGTTGTGAGTCACCCTACTTGTATGAAAAAATGTTTTCATCTTGTCGGCATGGTACATCACCATCACCCCAAATCTCCGACAATTGTTACGACTTCACGGAACTTTGTATCCCATGGACTCTATGCTATCATTATTCTAATCCATCAAAATCTTTTTAGTAGGATTTTGCATGTTCTGGTCGTATTTTAACCTTTGTGTGGCCTATCTATGTAGTCTACACTATTTCCAAAGATCGGTATGTCCTAGTTGTACGATATACCTTACCCAGTCGGACGGCCTGTACGTGTGAAATGTCTCGTCGCATTTTGCCTGGAGCAAGTTGGTGGGGTTTACATAAGGAAGTGGGCCAACGCACGGGTGTTGCCTTGGCATTCTACAACGATTCTGTTCAAATTCCTGATTTCTTTATTCTTTTGAGCCACCTTGCCGGTTTTCAAGGCCCGTCGTTTAGAAATAAGGGGTTGCCGACGAGAAAAACCACAACTCAAGAGGAACACTTAGGAATGTTTACAACTTCTGTACTTAACATGCCGCAATTTACCGCTCCACTCATCTGGATAATTTAGGTCAATTTTCCAAAGATAAGTAACATCGGAGCATATCTTTATCTACATCATCAACATATAGAGGTTCTATAATAACTTTGATTGTGCAAAACGTCTTTGACTGCTTAAACGACGCATGGAGTTAATTAAATCCTTCGTGCTCAGACATCTTTGTGTGAGAGATTAGGTCCATTTGCTCCCACAGGTGTCTGAGTCAGTCTTGCGTTACATTCAGACACACACTGGTTACTATGGTCTCATGAACGGGTGAGATATGCTACATACAAGTATATCTATATCAGATACGCAATGAAAGGCTTCAAAGGACAGAACTGTAACCGAATCCGTATTTTCTAAAATGAAAGGATCCGGCCACTTCGCTATCTTTTCCATCAAGAACCATTTTGTTATGCAAAACAAATAATACCTTCAGGCCTTCCTTGTCAGCTATTGCTTTCCCTCTTATACAATATACTGTAGTATGCAAAACATTGGACACAGCATACAAGATAACCTGTATGTATCATCTACTACAGTAGGTAAGGCTGAACAAAAGTTGTCTATAACAGAGCAGTACACCTACACATGACATAAAACAGAGGACACATACCTGTGGTTGTTCTCACTTGGTTCGACGAACACAACTGTATGGAGAAGAAAAGCAGCCACAGGACGAAAATCCAAAACGCGCGTTCCGGGTGTCTGTACATTTTCCCACTGGTCGACGAACTCATCCTAGGGCAACTATGGAAACGCGCGTCGAGGACAAGTAAAAGACCAACGCCCAAGCTTACTCATGCTGTATATAGAATAGGGTCAATACAGAATGAAGAATTATCCTACGTGAGGACCTAGAGATGGCCCTAGGCACCTTGTACCACATTACTTCTCCGGTGCTTACGTAGTTGCTATTGTGCTAGTTGGCACACTTAACGGACCTGTCACAATTACTGTCTGAATTATACGCATGAAGGCGGGGCGATTTAATACAGTCCGTTGCACTTTTCCGGGTTGTTTTGCATTTCATAAAAAAAGATGATATGAACCAATAATGTACCTGTAATGTTATAATATACATCTCCAACCTTGACAATTTAGGGAAGATAATCTTCGGCAGAAACGATTTCTCTTGTCTCTTTGAAAACAACTATGATTGATGAACAGAGTTTTATATCATAGCTTAGTCTTACTTACACAACATCTCAATACGTAGGTGTAAAATGTTTTGTGCAATATTAAAACACCAGACTGACTCTCACGTGGTGAAAGACTGGTCTGTTTTTCTGCTTTTGACATGAACTGTAACAGGTGGGACGTGCAAAGGGCAAATGTCACGCAGTCTTTCCCAGTTATGGATAGCCTTAAGTAAAACGGAAGATGACAGGTTGGATCCACAATACGTGTAAAGAAACCGGTTTGACGATTCCACCCCGTAAACTACTCGTGACAAAAGGTCACTCCATGGTATCTGGA